GTGTTAAAGCAAAGCAACCCTAATAAAATTGGTATAGTTAGTTTGCTTAACGACGTGTTCAGGGTATCATTCAATCCATTTGTGGAATAGTTCTAGCATTTGGGTTATCGTTTGGGTATGGTATTTTTTAATCAGGGAAGTCAATCTGTCTTTTAGGAGCTGTGTCGAGACGCTCATGCGACGTCTGTTCAAGGTTGTCTTGAAAGGCCAATGAATTGAGCCAGTTCAAGTAATTAAAATGAAAAGTCGTTCTGGCGATTTGCGGAACGGGATTTCTAATGATTTTTATTTAGTTCACTTCAAGTCAAGTGACATGAAGAACTTAAGGCACAAATTTAGCATTATGCACGATGTTCAAGTGAAGTAAAAACACTTGAGGAAAACTGATGGAAGTTTTCAAATCCTCACCCAGTGCCGTAAGAGCTGAGAATTGGGTCACAGAAGAAAACATTGCTACATGGATAAATTGTGGTGATCCTCTCATGCCAGGACGACTGTCCTGTGAAATAAAAAAAAAATGAAAAGTACAAATTATGGTGAAAATCACAAATGCTATTGTGAATTTATTTATCGGTATGGGTCACACAATAGTCTGTTATTCGATAGCAACTATTGTTGCAGTGCTTACTCATTGTCTGAGGTTCGTTCGCTAGTTAGATTCAGCTTCGTACATGGCAGTGGGTGTAATTGCAAATTTCGTGAAAGCGCTGGATATAGATACCGTGCTACATATCGCATGGAGAACGAAAAATCAATGTTCATCATGTTCAAATCAGAAGAATCGATGTTTCATTGTTTACTGTCCAACTACGAACAATTAATTTTCGATTATGCCAATTGGAAAGCAGTCGAGATACGCATGTCGCCTGCAAAATGCATCGTTCAATACATGAGAGTGTAGAACTTCCTCCAGGCGTCCCAAATTGTGATCTATCGTTGGTGCTAGGGAAATACAGTGATGTAAATCGTGTAGTTCGGGAGACTTGTTCCTCGACATGTACACAGGTGTACGGGGTGTACATATCCCAACTCACTGCATTTCCTCAATGGAAAGGGGAACATTTTCTAGCAAGGAAACAGAAATATGTGTTCTTTTTGTAAGACGGTGGGTCATTGGATGAGTTACTCCCCAAACTAATGACCTTCAAACGCAAAAAAATGCTAAATTGTCCAAAATTTGCACTGTTGATACCAAAGGTAAATAAAGGTTGGAACCTAACACATACCATACCATACACAAGGAATTTTAAAATTATATCTTTGTTGATTTCGCTAGATTCGAACGCGTTGTATTTTCGATCTCGAGTTTCCGTAAACATACAGCCCACTCGGTTTATTGAAGGAACAATGGCTTTTTAGCATAACGCCAAAACGACCTAAAAACTCCCCAAAATAACCAGTAGAGATTAACCAGCCTTTGGCTGAAAGTTGCGTACATAAAGATAACCAATTAATCAAAACATAAAATAATATTCAAAACCGCCAATGTTCCCTTAAAATCAACAAATTGGCTTTTAAAATCCACAAAAACACCCTTACGTCTAACCGGTCAAAATTTGCAAAAAAAAATATTTTTGAAACACCAAAATTAAATTTTAATTACAAACATGACTTTTAAAATCGCAAAACATCATAATAACTATAAAAAGTGCCTAAAACGGCATGTTGTATTTCAAAACCTCTTTTAATTTAATTGAGCCCTAAAAATGGCAAATTGCACCATACATCACAAAAATGGCATTCTAATTTAAAAAAAATTAAAAAGCATGTATACACCCTAATACACGCGTATTCCACAAGTTGGCAATTATCTTCCACGCACCATACGTAACGTTTGTCATTGAAATGTAATGTTACCACTTGACGGCATGTAATAGATTGAATGGGATCAGCTGACCATAGACAAACACTTCAAACCACATTACCTATTTAAATAAGCATTTATTAGCTAACTGGTTGGAATAAGTGAAATAAGATAGCAACTCTGTCCAACGATTGATTTCTGTCAAAAACCATCACAAGGTAGAGCTTAAATCAATAGCTATATTCAGTAGAACGCATGTAAAAAGATCCACATGAGTCCATCCAATGCAATGCCACACTCGCGTCACTGATATGACATCGAAACCGTTTCGCGCTAAAGTATCGTCTTATAAGCACAATATTAAATTGGCGTAGGTCAATTGGCAGCACAACCTCTCTGTATCTGACTCGATAGCGTGGGCTTGGTCCTATCGCACCAATAGGGAGAGTGTTCACATGCTTCATAAATGTATTGCAAAACTTGAAGTTTTTTTTGAATAAATTTAAAATCTGTTCACCTAACGTTACAGGCTGTTTAATTTGCGTTTCCGTGTAAATCAATGGTAATTTTTTTGATCTATACCCATAAACGCCAATTTAGAGAAGGAATGAAACTTTTGGCTCCTCAAATAATTACAAGGGGGAAGTATATTAATTTTGCTCAATCTTTGATCATAAAATTACTAAGGTCAATTAGAATAAATGAATAGGATTGTAATTTATAATCGTTTCTATTTATCACTTATCGTAATTTGGTAAGAAAAGTCCTTCATTCATAGAGGAGATTCATAGTTATAGAGCAAAATTGTCTGCATTTTGTTATTACAGTACTTTCCAGATTTTTCTCAACCTCTCACCGCATCAGATTTTTTTCTTTTACCTAATTTTACAGAAATTTTATTCTAAATCATTAACATTTTTCAAAAAGATATATCTGTCAGACAATTACGACGAGTGCTAATAAAATCGAATTTAGCAACGAGTTGCAAACATTTTTTTTTGCAATTCCGCATCATAATACCTATTTTTATCACGTGGTAGAGTAACATAATGGTCTACTTTTCCTAACTAAATACTACTTTTAAATAAATACTTTTTAGCACTCATTACTGAATAGTGTCACTTTTCGACACTGTTTTGAATAACATAATGGTCTACTTTTCATAACTAAAATAACAGTGTTAAAAAGTACTACTTTTCAGCATCCTGCATCGGAAAGCCTCGTGGGATAAACTACGACTTGTGTTGAATTTTTCTTTTCTTTCTGCAACTTGTTGCATAAATAGCTATTTCCGCAATCAATAGCGTGCGGAAAATTTTGTAGCCAACCTGTTTCGAATGTTTTGATCATACGCATGGACGTTCATATGCAGGCACTGTTAATACTGTGTTCTATATAGATGGAAATAATTAAAAATTACAAATCATCATTTTGAAACTTGCTAGATAAATAGCTATTTTACACACAAAAGAGTGTATTTTTGACATTGTTATTTTAGTTAGGAAAAGTAGGCGATTATGTTACATAAAGAGTGTCGAAAAGTGACACTTTTCAGCACTGTGTGCTAAAAGAGTTTGACGCATTTTTAAACAGGGCTTAGTAATAACAAAACATATAAAATTATCTGTAGCCTAGTACGGAAATCTTTTGCTCACTGCTCAGGATTACATGAATGAATATTTTTTAAGGTTAGCTAATTTAAAATATTTTAATTTTTTCCTTAAAATAATTAAAATAAAATTAAAATAAACCTCAGTGAAACTTCATAATGTAGCGGCGCTGGTGGTGTAGTGGTAAGCGTGATTATCTCTCAACCCAGCAGCAGGCCTGGGTTCAATCCCAGTCAGCGCCGAAGGGATGTTCTGAGGAATAACGGAAGGGAAGTAAAGCCGTTGGTCCCCGGTTCATGAGTTGATGGGTCGATATGTAGGGTCCAGGTATGGGAACTACCTTCCTGGCGTCGGTAGCATTGGTGCTCAGCACTGAAAACAAGATCGATGAAAAACATATCAATGAAAAAAACTTCATAATTTCTTAGCTTTAAATAATTTCTCATAAAGTGTTTGCAGTCTTTTTCATAGTTTTCAAACATTCCATGGACTGTTAGAATATATCGACAATTAAATCCAGCTCTATTTCTCGTTTTGTTAATTTTTAGTTCAATACTTGTTCAATCATTTTCGCATAGTTAATTTCAGAGACGAACCAGTCAACGGCTGAAAGTCTTTATAATAAAGAAATCAAATCAATCCATCGATAATTTTTGATCTTTAATGATTTAATGTTTTTTCAAGTACAAAAATTTAGCTAGAACACGTATACAGTGAGCGAAATTTTTTTAAGCGCATGAATGTTTAAGAAAATAATTTCTTGAATAGTGCATAAGAATCCAATAAACTTATATTGGATTTACATGGCATATGTAAAATTGTCTGTTTAAATTTGCACTGGCAAAATCTGTAAGATATCTGAGAAAAAGGTTTTTTTTTAAAGAAGCAAAGCGTATATTAGTTCGTGAATTGAAGAATATTTGTTTGATCAATTAAATCAGCTCGGAAAATTAGAAGCGGAGAAGTAGCGATGAAAAAAAAAATTATGGAGATATGGCATTAAGGAGAAAAATAAAGCCAAATCCTTAATCATTTTCATCAGGCATGTATCATACAGCTTGACGACACTAGAAAGTTCAATACTTTTTAGAACTTCTGATGCCATCTTCCAGCAATGTAAGCAATATTGTTTACAAAGATGGGCATTTATATACAATAATTGCATAATTTTATGAAATGTCTCAGAACATTACACGACTTATGTGCAGAAATTCACACTATTTTTTCGAACTGTGTTACTATGCCATCATACCCCCCTATTGCTCGGAGTAAGTCGGCGGCACTGTCGATAGCATTTACAGCAGTGATGCTAATCAGATTATTCATGTGATGCTGATTTATGAATCATCTGCTATCTAAAATATACTTCTCTAAAGATGTTACTAAGAAAATAGTTTCAAAGAAAGGTTCATCTCATTTTGCAACTACCTGAATCATGGGTAAATCAACTGAAAGACTGACCAGTCAGAGTTTTTTTTTCAGATCTATTACGTGTGGCACAAACAAAATGATTCAGCTGCACATGAAATAAATTTTGTATCAAATCAAATAAAAATTGTCTTCATTACGCTTATGTTTTGTTTCAGATGCCAACCTGAATTCACTCGAACACAAATCAATTTGCGAGGATGATAGTTTGCAGTACGTTCAAGAGAAGGGCTCCCAATCGAGCCTAGTGTTGAATCTCCTTCCAGACAAGACTAAACCGTTCTGCAAGCGTCAATTTCACGCTCCAGAATCGCACGGCTTCTACGTGCGCTTGCAAAGAATACCTATACCAGTGAGCACGAACCCAAAAGTATCGCAGCAAAACGGCATGTCTAAAAAATATGGCAGCAAAAAATCCAACAACATCACCGACTCCTGTGCACTGAGTATAGTAAGTAAACAACATTGTTTTCCTATTTCGTTGCACTTCATGCAATTCTTTTGTGTAGGCCTATATGTAAGGTGTACTTAGTTGGCTCGACAAAAATCAACTCACGAGTCACGATTTCCCTTCCACTAAGCTGGGATGTGAAGAAGAGACTAAAACCGGTGGTAATATATAACACTACCTACAATACAGAACATTTGAAAATAATGTATGAGAAAATGCATAAAGTTGAATATGAGGGTTACCTGCCTTATGTATTTGGATTTTCTGTATCAATTACAGTAATGAACTGACTTTTTATTTTTCCTTAATTTTTTTTCCGTTAATCTTGTCTACCGACGCCAGGGAGGCAGCTCCCACACTTGGACTCTACACAGTTCGAAAAAGTTGTGTAAATTTCTGTTCAATATGATGCACATAAATGGAGCGTCACACGTCATATACGTTTACATTATACATCATGTAAAGTTCTGAGACATTTCATGCAATATAGCAGATATTGTTTACAAAAACCCATTGTTGTAAACAACATTGTTTACAAGTTGCTCGGATGCGTGAAATGAAATACAAGTTTGCGTGAATTAATGTTTACATCACTATTAAAATTCAGAATTTTTATCTGTGCAGGCCTGCTGGGGTAAGAGGTAATCACGCTTACCACTACACCACCGGCGCCGATAAACCGACATTTCCGGACATTTAAAAAAATTGATTATCACGTACTCTTCCGGCTTCTCTCCGCCTGTAGTACGCGCTGTCCTCCGCCAGGGTGATGCCGATAGAGATCATTCCGGCGATAACGCATATTACTTTGATTCTAGCTATCGCGTTGATGGCCTTCGAAGCCTTCTCACAGGCATATTCGACGTGCCTGTTGAAGTTTACCGGTCATCGATCATCAGTTTCAGGTAGTTCAGGCTGGAGATGAACTAGCCAGTTGGCTTATTATCTCCCTAATAAAGTCTTATAAAAAATTCGAGTTCGGGTCGGGTTCTTGTTGCAGGATAAAACTAGTCATGTCTGTTGGCACATTGGCACTCAATATTAAGACAAGTTGTCCAGTTCTAGGCTAATGTAATTTGTTTATTTGTTTTAGAACCCGCATAAGTCCATTCGATGCAAAGGCTATAAAAAAAACTAAATTTTAGAATGTGTTTCATTCTGATTTTTGGTTTATTAGTCAGATTACACAAAGAATAGGATGAACTTTTCAAGGTTGATAGTCTAGTTAAGTACACACATCGAAATCAAAATTTAAAGTTATTGTAAAAAAAATTGGGTTAGTGAACGCCTACTATCAAGAGTAACTCAATCATATCAACAAATTTTAGATTTTTAAACGGTTTTGGAAATATATACACATTTATGGGGATTTTGAAGAAATTCGTTAATTGTTTTAATTAAATAGGATTTTAATACATTTTTTTTTCGAACTTCAGACGCCATTATGCTGAATAAAACATGATCATTCCCCCTCGCCATAGTACCACTTATTTGCTATGTAATCCTGAGGTTTTGTTACAAATTTGAGCCAAATCGGGCAATAATCATACGTAAAAGCTAGTTTATGCCAGTCTACAGGAACATTTAGCAATTTAAAAAGTTTTTTTTTCCCTTTTTCTATCTAGTCCCAATCACTGCATGGTGAAGTGCTACCTCCCTGGAGATTGGATCCCTGTGAATTGGAATCCCTTGGCTCTAAAGATGAACCAGTGCGTCTCCTACAAGGACGATTGAACATCGTGTGGAATCACCTGGGCAATCAGCCAGCTTATAGGTTACTGGTTACAGTTATAGGTAATGGTGCTCCGTGCTTGGAAAAGGATCGACATCCATGTCTAGAGGTGGACGACGTTCCATTATTGTGCGTTTCCAAAGATCTCACATGTGATGGAATTCGGCACTGTCCTTCATCTGCGAACGCACTCAGCGATGAAGATAGTGAAATGTGTTCCAAAAGGAACGAGCAGGATCTAACGGTAATGATATAACACATTATGTATAATTCTAAATCACTAATGCAATTATTTTTCAGGATAATCCCGTGGAAATGGTGTTCAAGAAATATATACAAACTACTTTTAAGGCATTTTTCTACACTGATTCTACCGAAATGCCTTCCAAAGAGGATTCCACAGTTTCTAGCGAAGAGAAACGAATAGAAGTTATAGAAACTCAAACCAAAACTACCACTAAACAGCATAAAAGTACTCTCACGGGACTGTCAAAATATGGCCCTTGGGGGTATCTGTTTCTTGGAATGCTACTTTGCGGTGGTGCTTTATTAGTATGTGGCTTGTGGGGTAAGGTGTCTGAAAAGTATGATTTCTATTTAATTGCCTAACATAATATTTTTGTTAATTCTAGAATGCTGTTGTCGAACCCACAAACCAGAACCAGCGGATATGCCTGGACAAGAAAATCCGTCAGTTTTTCTCGAGTCTGGTATTAGTAATTCAAATATAAATATTTCAACTGGAGCTGTCCAATCATTGCCGCCGTACGAAGATTTAGATCCCCCACCAGCTTATTCGGTTTTATTCCCGAACCAAAAATCTTCAGAAAATCTACCCTCGGTAACTGAAGGTTCTCTGAGTCAGCAGAGCACCGATAGCGCTAATGAACCAGTGCAAGCTAGTAGCAGTGCAGCAAGCGTCAGTTCAGTGCACATACAGACCCAAACCGGTCAATAAGGAACCACTTTTCTGTGCGTAGGTTACAACAATCTGAATAAGGCTGATTTTATTATTTATTGAAACGAAATCCGTAATGTCGAGTAGTTGGCTTTAGAATGCCTCATTTTTACGGTTTTCTGACACAAACCTCAAACCTGTTAAGCTAGAACCAAACGATAGAATATTTTGAATATCTGATTTCATCGAAATCCGTTTGCAACTGTACGAACCCGATCAATAGAAATACTCTCAAGCAGGATGACGATGGAAGTTAACATTCCATTGTGGTTGGAGGGTTTTCGTTCTATTCGCCTCAGGTCACGTTTACTGTAGATTTAGTCAGAATGTATTAATTAAGAGAAGCGTGAGGTCTCACAGGAAAGCATTTGTATTAATATTCAGCTAATCGTCATGTGATATTAAATTATTTGTAATCATGGACATTTGATGAGAGTAGTCATATTAGTAAACTAATAAAGAAGCATTTTCTTAAAATTATTCTAAAAATGTATACGAAAGTCAATTGCTAACTATTTGCTTTGTGTGTGTGTTTTTTTTTTGTTTTTTTTTGGTAAGGAGGAAACTTTCAAAAAGGCCATCGTGTCACCGCTTGACGACTGGGCGCACTGTCGCGGTGACACGGTGTATGGGATTCTTACCGCACTAAAACCTCCTTGGACGCCTCGCCCTTTTCCCCCGGAACCACTTGTCGTATTACTTCGGAGGGGGCGTGTATTACGCACCTCACTTTACCTCAGCTAATTGGCGCTTCCAGTTCGCTGATCGTCTCTCCAATTTGTGAGCCATTTAGCTCCCAGCGTAACGTTCTACTCGGTTATCCCCGGTGGTGGATTCAGCCTACTCTGACGGAGAGTTCTGCCGGCTTCGGCTTTCAGTTCGCACTTGTGTGAGCACATTACTACTTTCTAGTTGGTCTTCTCGCCATTTTCGCTGCAGCGCTGACATGATCTGTGTTACTGCTCTGCTGACGGCGTTAAAGGTGCCCTCCTCTCGACACTCGACATTCTCCGTGCTAAGGACGAGCATATCTTCTCGCACATCATCAAATCTAGGACATTCGAAGACCACGTGCTCTGGTGACTCTTCCACACTCCCAAACTCCGGACAGAAGGGTGACGTTGTGTGTCCGAACCCATGCAGGTACTTCCTGAAGCAGCCATGACCAAACAGGAACTGCGTCTAGTGGAAGTTGACATCTCCATGCTTCTTGTTCACCCAGGTCGAAAGAGTCGGTATTAACCTGTGTGTCCATCTACCGCTCTCTGCTGCATCCCACTCCTGCTGCCACTTAGCCATCGACTCCGTTCTCACCATTTTTCGTACTCCTCTGGTTTCTCTCGTCATATAGCACTCGTAGTCCTCCGCCAAGGTGATGCCGATTGGGATCATACCGGCGAAACGCATACTGCCTCCATCGAAATGGTTCTGTACGCACTCACGACTCGCATGGCCATGAGCCGGAACGTACTGCTCAATTTCCTTTGGTTCTGCTTCGTTTTCAGCGCTTCAATCCAGGCTGGACCTCCGTACCTTAGTATCGATGAGGACACACTAGCCAGAAGACGCCTCTTGCTGCTGCCTGGACCAGAATTGTTCGGCATGATTCTGGCTATTGCGTTGATGTCCTTCGCCGCCTTCTCGCAAGCATATTCGATGTGGCTATTAAAGTTTAGCCGGTCGTCAATTTTCACTCCCAGATACTTTAGCACGCACTTCGAAACAATGGTGTGCTTTCCAACGGTAATTTCTGCTCGCTGCACTGCTTTGCAGTTACTGACCAACATCACTTCTGTTTTGTGGTGGGCTATTTGCAGCTTCGCTCCTTGCATCCAGTTACCAATCGTATCTATCGTCTCGGCCGCCAACATTTCCACTTCTTCCAGCGTCTCACCGTCAAGACGACATCGTCCGCAAAGCCAACGATCTCAACTCCTTTGACTGGCCACTGGCCAGAAGACGCCTCTATCTACTGCTGGGACCAGCATGTTCGGCATGATGTTGATGGCCTTCGAAGCCTTCTCACAGGCATATTCGACGTGGCTGTTGAAGTTTAGCTGGTCATCGATCAACACTCCCAGGTATTTCAACATACGCTTCGAGGCTATGGCGTGCTCCCCTACGGTGATTTCTGCCCGCTTTACCACTTTACAGTTACTGACCAATAGCACTTCCGTTTTGTAGTGGGATATCTGCAGCTTCACTCCTTGCATCCAGTTACAAATCATGTCGATCGCCTCGGTCGCCAACACTTCCACCTCTTCCAGCGTCTCGCCTGTTACCGTCAAGACGACGTCGTCTGCAAAACCAACGATCTCAACTCCTTTGGGCAGCTTCAGCGTTAGCACGGCGTTGTACATCCCGTTCCAGAGCGTTGGACCAAGGATGGAGTCTTGTGGAACTCCCGCTGTGAACCTTATCGATCTCTGTCCGATGTCTGTGTCGTAGACCACAACCCGGTTCTGGAAATAACTCCTCAGGACCCTGCACAGGTAGTCAAGGACCCTCCTTCTATGCAGCGCTTCAGCAATGGCCTCCCAGCTTGCACTGTTGAACGCATGCTTGATGTCTATCGTTATCACGGCGCAATATCGATCTCCTCTCCGCTTCTGTTTGGACGTCTTCTCAGCTCTCTCGACCACTGTCCAAATTGCATCTCACCTGTATTGTATAGGCAGTAAAGGCCTATATGCTGGATTCACTCGGGAAAGTCTAGGAGAGGATCATCCTCAACCAAGGGGTGAGATAGTTTTATTCTGAGCTGCTTTTTTGCAGCGAGTAGCTCGCGAGTAACTCAATGTACCTAAAAATGTAATCGACGCTCATCGATTTATTTGTATGTTTACTCCTCGGCGTACTCCGCTTACCCCCTTCAGATATTAGACGTCAGTCTTGTTTCTAAAAAAATATAATTGTTCAGATAGGCTATTGTAACGATGTGAATTACACAATTTGTTCAGAAAATGACTCGAACGAAGCTGGGAAATTTTTCCAAAGTGGACACCCGATTCCCAATTACAGCTTCAAAAATATCACCAACCATTATCTGCCGGACGAAATCGAAGTGAAAACCGGTGAGGAAGACGAAGAACAAGCTTCAAGCTCCTATAGATGGTTCAGAAAGAGTGGAAGAAAAAGCGAATAGAACACGAAAAAAAAAACTGTTTTCCTTCTGGATGAAATATCTTTGTAGCTTTAAAGAGATGAACAAGCCTCTTGCTGAAAGTTTCGCTAATAAAGATAACCTTTGTAGCTTCAAGAGTCAAGCGGACTGTAAAAACCGGAGGGTTCAGCGTTTGCAGAAATAAAAAAAAAACACGCTCGTGACCTTCTTAAAAATGATTCATATATTTCCCTTCTATTAACATTGGATGCACCTTTAGTTTGGAAACAGTGAAGGTGTGAAGGCAATATATATGAAAACACGGTAACAGTTGGATAGTGGAAAGAACGATAATTGTTCCTTTTTACATCCTTGCGGCATACTGAATTTCAAACTTCCGGAATAGTTTCGGGATTAGCCGCATCTTCTGCGTCTAGCGGCAACAAGCACACATTCTTCACCGCAAAACAACACTGAAGTGGAGGTAGATTATCGTCCACGATCAACACTAATGCGCTAATTTTGAACTTGGTGACCTTGAAATCCCGTTGAACCCGTTGAAACTCTTGGAGATAATCTGTCGAACAAGTCCGCCAAAACTATTGTCTCAAGTCCTGAAGAACCTGCCATCTAGACAGCCTGCCGACCTTGACGTTTTCGTACGATGGTTTCGCTAAAGCCCGGCCGATCAAAAAATGTGCCAGAGTAATAGCTGTCATATCGTTTGGGACGTCTTCAATTTGCGCCAAATGTCGTTGACAATTCTTCATATGAACGTGATCGGTCAGAATCGGCCGGAGCTGAAATTTGACCGATTTCACGCCTGCTTCCCATATCCCTTCGAAGTGCGGACTAAGCGGAGGCATAAAAGACCAATCGATGTTTCACTGAACGCAAAATTCATTCAGTCTCTTTTGATGCATTTCCGTTTCGAACAGCTTGACAAGCTTCGCAAGTTCATTATTCGCACTGCCGAAATTGCTGGCATTATCTGAGATAATCTTTGACTGTAGACGATTTTTTCACAGCTTCCGCTGCAAGGGGAAATTTCTTCTTCTTCATTAGCAAGTTGCCTCAGCGCCATCATTGCCGGCGAAGATGCAAGCCCATACGTTACTGTCTTCAACTTATAGGCTTTCAGAGGTTCATCACGGTTACTTCTCCAAAAATTCGCAGGAAATCGTCGTCCATCCAAGCCTACCTGTACATTTTCTGGACATCTGCACTCACAGCGTACTGAAACGTTCGAAATTTCAGGTGAATGGAGACCAAATCGTTCTGTACATAGAAACCGTCAGTCGAATCTTCGGTCGATGAAGACGTAATTTCAACCAAGTGTCCCATTTCTTCATATTCGCTCATAAAGGTTCTTCAGAATCGCCCAGTTGCACTTTCGACTCGTTGAAGGGCAGCCGAACGAAACATCTTCCGTGATCATCTCGTCGGTACGTCTCGAGAAAATGAGCGACGCAAGCATTTTCTGAAGAATGCTCTCGAACTGTCGTTTCGTCATAGGAATTGAAATGCTAAAAACGTTTAAGTTACTTACCGATACTATCCTCAGTTACCATCGTACATAGCGAAACACCAATGCCCAGTGGGTTAGTAGGAACCAGGCCACTCACAATCCAACCAAGGGATGTCTCCTGCACTGCTGGCAAGTAATCAGCCAAGTTTAACTGATTGTGCTTGATCAACTTGAAGAAAAGCCTAGATCCAATCAGGACGTCTATCTGACCAGGAACGATGAATCCGGGATCGGCAAGCTCGATTTTTTCTGGGTTGCCTCGAAGCGCTGCATGGGAACCTCGCCCCCAGTTTCAATCCGAGTTTCGAAACCAATCCTTCCGTGATAAGGTGCTTATGCGAAGCAGAATCTAGCACTGATCTGCATAACTCGCTTTTCCGCTCCGCGAATCAAAGCAAATGCTGTAGCTAGCAGCGTATCTTTATCAGCATCTACGTTTGATCCGTTGTTGACTGGCACCGAAGAAGTTCCAGCCACAGCCTCAGAATCAGCTGCATGTAGGGACGTTTGATGTCGTTTTCCGCACCGTTTACATGAATGTACTGCACTTTCCCGTTATATAGCCCCGTTCCAAACAATTGAAAAAGGAACCACTCTTCCTGTGTACCTTTTGCTCACTTTTTTAAACGTGATACTTCTGGATCATCAATACAGTACGAGCACTTTGCACTAGTAGTAACAAGCCTGTGCACTTTTGAATACATCTTTCCCAGGGGACGCACTGTCTACACAACATCCGATGGAGCCTTGCTATTTCGGTTGTTCTACTTTACACCTTTCTTTGAGGAACACCATCGTCGATTTATAATCCGCCAGTTATTTATCCTTCTGGCTCAACGCCCACGCCTTCTGGGCATCAATGTCAAATTTCTTTGACAACACATTCGGCAGCATCATCTCGCCCAACCCGTTGACTGGTAACTGTAGGCTTCTAAGAGCATCGACGTTCTTCGAACATGTGTCGATGAGTTTTCGTTGACCGGTCGTGCTTTCCTTCAATCGATATGCTTGTCAGCAATGGCCTGCTTGTTCTCGTAGCGCTCACGCAGCATTATAGTCATAGTCCAGGCAACATCATAGTCATTGTTGTTTATGATGTTCTGGTCGATCACGCCTGCAGCTGCACCAACCAACGAATTTCGTAAATGGTACAACTTTATCGCCGCTGATTCCATCGGGTAACGAGCCATTACGTTCTGGAAAATCAACAGAATGCTCAGATATCCCATTTCCATAATGCTCTCAAAACAAGAAGCATAACAAATTCTATTCAAACCAACGTGGTTCTACGGTAGCTCAAATTTGCAGGTAATCCAGAGTCTAAATTGTATTCTATGCAGTTGATTAACTATTAAAATTTTGACCAACTTTTGTTCTAAGCTGAATCATTGTGTATTACAATAATCCCGAAGATGAGAATTCGAGGACTGATGTTGATTGATTTTTGCAATCCATTAACACTTCACATTTTACTGACTGACCATGTGCAACTTCCATCAATTGCTTTGAATGACTTACAGCTCGGCCAAAGTTTCGTCAGTCTTTTTCGCCATAGAAACCTATACCTATTCAAAATTGGTATGTTATTAGCGGGCTGTGATATTTTTTTCGACATTCAATAAAAAAAACCGAATAAAAGTTTGTTGGCCTTAAATTTCTTTCCATCAGATCGTTTATTTCGCCTCGGTCAAAATACGCACAGCTCGTCTCTGTGGAAAAATGGGTTAACTCTATGGGGTGTGTGAGTGTATGTGTTTGTGTGTTTGTAAGCTATTTTATCGACTACATGTCACATTCTCCTGTTACACTATTTGTATGCTATTGTATTTGGTTGTGTAACATTTGTCTCTTTTTCACATTACTCTCTAACGTTACGAACATGTTGATCACGTTTTTATTCATTTTTTATCATTTTATTGTATCGAATATTCTCACTATTCCCTAAATTAGGTATCATTCTGTGAAGCTGTTGCTCAATGCAGTGTATGTGTATGTGTTTATTTTGTTCACTTTCAATAGGTATCCACGCACACGTCTATTATATTCCCTACACGATTTGGTTGCACAAAAAATACATGGCATTTTCGAAAGAAACAGACATTCATTGATTTCTTAAGAATACGGAGCCAGCAACTGACTCGCATCGGAAAATTTTGTTTTCAAACCTTGTATTTTTAAAAAATGTAAAATATTCAATTCAAAAATCCTCTGTTTTTCTTCATGTATGCTTTGTATAAAAATCAGAATGCTGATAAAAGGGGTTCCTAGAGTTGAGAGCTTTAGTTTCGTTATGTTTATGCTGTCAAAGTTTTCTTCAGAGAAGCTGACCGTGTTCATGAATGTACTTGGTGATTCCTAAAGTCGAGTTTAAATGCTTTTGTAATAAGTGCGGCGAGGGAAAATACTTCTAAAATTGGTTTGTTTGTGTTTTTGATCTGGTCAATGATAATGTGTCGTTTAATCTTTAGGTGCACTGTAACATCATTTTATCACTACATTATCCATAGGTGTTAGTGTATCTTACTGTATGAATTAGTCTTCAATCCACTTTTCTCCTCCATTAGTTTAGTGGAAATGTCTCCTGGCGCTCATCTTTCTATTAGTTTCAATCATGAATGGTGCAATTTCGTGAAACTATGAATCAGTTGAAACTTACGGATGGATGAACGAGAATCTCCTGACACTTGTTCAAACGTCGTTTCAACAATTATACATTACGTAAAACATGAACATTTTTCCCAATACATCACATAACATCCACAAGGTGCATTAATATATTATTTAAACTCACAAATTATCGGTAAATAATTTGCACTGTTTGACAATATTGTTATTTAACTTTTGCGTCTGATCAAAATAGGCCCAGTCGTGTTCATGCACTTCCCATGGGAATATCGCAAGGAATTGTATGTGAATAAATCAGAAGCATCTTGATATGTTTTTTTGTTTTGCATGCTATGCTCGTTAAGATTTGATCTTCGTATAAGAAAAGTGATGAAATTTAATTAATTTTAACCTCTTAAAAATGCAATAAATAGAGTAAGCATAGAGTTAAACAAACGTGTTATATAAATTAAAACTGTCTATCCACGGACAGCATGAAAACATTGTATTCAAACTTTGAATCCTTTCTGGAAACGATCAGTAAATTATTACTATTACGATTTTCATAAGATCCGGGCATTTTCTTTGTTTCATTTGAATAATTTACTATATAAAATCTCTGTTAAAGTGTAATCATTAAGCTAATGTATCTCATTTTTTACTTAATACATACCTATATCATGTTTAAATTATGATCTATTCGTGGGTAGTTGTAAATCGTGATAATTGTTCTTTGTTTTTCCGTCGATAGGTTATGTCTGTAGGATTGTAACGAAGAAATGCAACTTTACAGAGAAATGTCAACAAATGATCTAACTCCCGTTTCATAAAACTTGCCGACTCGTCTGTTCTGGCTTAACACGCCTGAGGAGAATTGCGTTATTGTTACAATGTATTACTGATTGAGCACTCTATCTGTGTTTCCGAACTAGTTTTCTAAAAAGATTAAGCTCTGTCAGCGAGTGAAATACGTTTATAGTAGTGCTATTCGTGAGTTCTACAGATTACTAGACACCAACAACTCCATGCTACAGCTACCGAAATCTTGTTCCGTCATGTTTTCATGCAAATTGCTACACTTTGTCGAAAGGTTGTAGTACTTGATTTGAAAATTGAGATATGTAGTGCTTTCAGATTAGTATTTTCTTCAAATTTTAAAAATTAACTGTTCATTTACCAGTGTATTTTCAGCAATGACCATTAGCATCGTCTAGATAATCTTATAAAATAGGACCACTATAGAGGCGTAGGGCAAATGTATCGTCGATAGCCCTTCAAAACAATTAGAGAGATAAGAAAGTTCTGTTTTATAAGGTGATCATTCTGGAAATAAGGTCCCTTTGCAACCTGGACATGATTTTGAATTCTCGACCACAATGGTTGACATGTAAATGAATTGCTCAAATAATCAGCACTCAGTGCCAATAGTTGGAATATTTGTTTAAAACGGAGTTTCAAATTGCTCCGGCCAATGACACTTAGCGCAATCGACTCGTTTTTTTTTATTGCAGTCATCAGTTTTAGAAAAAAAAAATCTGTTTGAAGTATGGGTTTCTCCTATTTATCTAAGCTATTTAAACAATAAAGCTGTGAGGGATATGTTCAATTCTACTAAGAAAATTCAATTTCAGTTATCAAGAAAACAGTTGGGAATAAAATGACGCTAAAAATGTCAACAAGTCTCAAATCGCTCAACTAATATCAAAGTACTACAACCTTCACTACTATATGCTATTATGTATGTGTAATCTAGTATGAATGCAAATTATTTAATTTGCTGAAGAAAAATTTCAAGATTATCCTGAAACTTTCTATAAAAACATCCACTTCTGAAAGTGTTTTTGATGTCCAATTAAAACATAAAGTCGAAATTGTGTAATTAAACATCGGAAAAACGCTGTTTATTGGCATCACATGAGAAACAATTTTCGACAGTTTCAAATGCATGAATTGTAGATACAATTACCAAGGGTCGTATTTGGGAAGCTCAAATTAATTCTTAAACAATCTGGATGCACTCATTTCTTTCTTAAGCATTGATTTGCCATCTACAGCAACCTGCATTTAGTTGCTCGTTAAAAAATAAAGCAGCTATGCGTCCTAAGTAAGGCGTGACGTTTTTGTTCTAACTTGAATTTCCTCCACATGAACGTTCAATAAACAAAGCAGGTGAGTTGTGCGGATTTTTTAAGCGTTCTTCTAGAAATTCCAAAAAGTTTTTCAGTCAAGGTTTCGATACACGATGGATACCGAACGGAAATGTGGAGGAAATATTAGTTCCAAAATCAATTCCTTCTGCTTCAGAAAAAATACCCAGCTATGGTTATACGTTATTTTATGTCACAGTGTAATGCTCTGTGGGCGATATAATCACAAAAAAAATGTTCTTGTAGAAAATCTTCCTTGCCGGTGGTGTGTATTAGTGGCTTAAAATAACACACAACCATTGATGGGTTGAAGTGACGAACGGTTCGCGTTCGCATTATTCCGACTTTCAACGCCAACATGGTTCTTTCCGTGTTAATTTTCCATCGAGTTCAGAGTACAAAACCTATATCGCGTACCATCAACAGAGTATAGAATTTGTAAATTTACCTGGAAGTGTTGGTACGGGTAACAAAATCAGCAACATAGTGTTTATGTTAAACTATTAGTATCTCTTTGCGTGCACCAGATTCGAGTCAATGTTTGTATCAAACAGTTTCGGAGTGAATCAACTAACTGGACCGGGATATGGAATGATTCGTTAATCGGTTTCTAGAACATCTATCGATAAAATCGGTAAACTCGTCTATATAAAATATTTATGTGAGTTGATGGTGGTTTCTGTAAGGTTTGATCATATAAAAAGATTTTAGAAAGTTGCATTTGAACATTTCATGGGAATGGATATTTACAATTAAGGATGTACACTTTGGTTGGTGGTTTGTGGTTCTTAACTTCAAATTTCACTATGAAAGATAAAATGCGTAGAAAGTTGAATTGGAATTGTGATGTGCAATTTGTACAACATTTGATCGATTTTTTTAGTGTGCTTGATGAAACAGATTTGAATTGAATTGTAGATCAATGATGAATTGATTTTTTACACTCTGATTGATGAAATGTTCAGTACTTCAGATACTTGGTTCTGCGTGTCTTTTTGATCACGGGTAGACCATCCAGTCGGCCATCCGAATAATACGAACAGTCGAGCAACTATCACCAGAAGGATAAGGGGCGAGAGGTACTTTTTAATTTATATCTTGCTTTTCGATAGTCGATACTGGACGCATATAGGGGTGATATTTTGAGACCAGTTTTATCCGGAATGATCTGAAATTTGGCTTGTGGATCCTTCTGGCTACGTTGTCCATGGAAGGAGCGCTGTGAGTACTGTTTGGATGGATGGACTGTTAGGGGTCTTTTGGCCGAATTTTCCGATTCACTACGTGGAGCTCCAAGGGGTCTGGCTGCGCTCGTAATGTTCATTTTCTTTGCCGGAATATTTTTAAGATAATTTTGCTCTACGTGACAATTGAGTGGGGAATACTTGCTCGGCTTGTAGATGGAAAATATATTGTTAAGGAAGCTAATTGCGTTGCTGTTGTGACTGATGTTGTTTCTTTTACTACTGGGATGTTTACTGATACCGTTTTCAACATTGTTTCTTTCCGGGTAAACTTTCCTACGAAATTTTGTTATCGATGGTGGTGAAAACGTATCAACGATGTTGTTGTTCTTCTCATTTCCCTCCCGGTAGTGATAGTGATCGGAGTGATACGGATCATCATCATGATAGATGTCTATCACAGTTCCGTTGTTGTATCGGTTAATGTTAACGTTTTTCACCTTCTTCAGTGCGCCCGGTGGATACTTTTCCGTTAATTCACTCGGTGAAGTGGGTGACGGTTTTTCCAACTCCTCCCAGTATTTTTCAAAATCAAAATTAAAGTCATCTAACTCCAAATCGGTTGAATCGGATGACGTATCGTCATACTTATTCGGTGGTTTAACTTCCAGCATGCTTTTATTCTTAGCAATATGAGGTTTAGAGAAAAAATTATTGCCCTTTACCTGGTACTGTTGATCAATGTAGCAATTTCGATTGAAAATGTCCTCGAATGATTTGTGATAGTCGTCGGTGAAGTCGTCGGTATATTTGCTGAGCCTGTCAAATTTGCCACGCAGTACCTGTTTGGAACGCTCGTGTCGGTAAAATTCATCGAAATCGCCTGTCGTGTGTCCCGCTCCGTAATAGTCATGGTCATCGAAGTCGTCAAACACAACAGAATTGTCGTCGTTATACATATTAAGATCAATCTCCTCCTCTTCATCCTCAAATAGGTCAAAATCCTCTTCCATCACATGTTGCGACCTAGTACTTGCTACGCGCCTTCTCATATTGTTGCGATTACGTTGATTCCATTCGTTCATTAGGTTATTATTGTTATTGTGGATATTCTTAGTATCTTTACTAAAGCACGTTTCGTTGAAGCAACCTTCACGATCACATATACGCATACCTATCGGTTTTATGCCATTATAATAATTTAATCGACCAGAATCGGAGAGAGCATGTCCAGGGAATTCAGCCATCTCGAAACTGTTACGGTTGTACGTTTTACTCATATTGAACCCCGTGCCCATACTTCTTGAGGTGCTAAAGGAGTGTGATTTGGGGATCCTATGTCTAACATTATTGGCCATTATGCTACTACTACCACCAAAGCAACAACTGTTTGATTTCGGATAATTGTTGGCCCGTTCGAATTGTGCACCTACAGTGAAGATTTCGTCAAGCTCATCGTCCAGATTACCGTTTATATCCCTATATGCAGTGTGAGGTTTTCTAGGCTGATAACTATTCACTATCGCTAATGCTGGCTCTCCATCCGAGTTGTCAATCGATTGGTTGGAATAAATGTTGTCAGTGTACCAGTTTGGATCCAGAGATGTCTTTCGTTTGGGTCTTTTCACGGGATGGTAATTAAAATGATGCCTGTAGAACACTCGATCTTGATTTTCGTGTCTTAGGCGTTGCTCTACATTATATTTATGAACCTTCATCATTTCCATTTTCTTCTCTCGAAACTTTTCCCATTTCTCCCAGTTTTTATCATAGGATTTTTGCATGTTATTTTTTCCTTCTTTGTGATAGTGGTGGCTACGTGCTTCCACTTGGCTTTGAGCTTCGTACTCTTGGCCTTTGGATGACGGTTTACAAGATTTCTTGTTCAGTTTACTACTCTGTGCATGGTTGGAAACACCAGTTTTGCTTGTTTTCTTGCTACTTTTATCCCGATCACGATCTAATTCTTCACCTTCCCGTAGTCAGACTTCTTGTAGATATTTTCCTGGGATAACACCCTGATGGTTATCAGCGAAACGCACAGAAATCATGCCCCCTACCTCTTCCCCAATCTGTAACGATAACCACTTACAATAAATTCATTCTGTATGAATTTCAATCCAATTTTACCTGTATGACGATTTGATCTCTCTGCAGCTTGACCTCGCATCGTTCGTTATCCGTTATATGCAGCGGGTGGGTCACCTGGAGGACCTTTTCAGATGCTCCCAGTTTAGTACAATATTTGGAAGGGAAATAACCAACCTTTCCCAAACATTTCCCCTTCCACCAATTAGCGTCGGACGAGTCGATGACGGTTACCTGTGATTCAAATCAGATAGGAAGAAACAAGCGTCAAGGTAACATCACAATCATTTAAACAACTACAATTCTACCTTATAACCTGCCACCAAATCGAGCTCATCTTGGTGTCGGGATTTAAAGTTATACAGCACCACGTGAATATTTGTCGGCAACATGCGCTGTACTTTCTGAAATGAAATAAACAACGGATCAATTATTCAATACATTTTCCATAATGCGAATCGAATGTTGAGCTATCTATCGTGGAGTTATAATCATACATATTTCAAATTTCCCTATCAAAACAACCAGAGATTTTGCGAACGAAACCTTAATCCATTTAATTCAATTTCGATAAAGCTTTGCTTAACGTATAATCATATGTGTTTCGCAACATATGGTTCTGCCACTTGTGCGATCCTATAATTTTTGAACCGCCTGAATTCATGTATAAATGAGTGATTCTAAAATTCAATCAAATTCAATGGCCCACTGCCACGCGCTGAAGTTTCCCGTTCACTGCCCATTGATTGCATATGCGAGAAGCATCATCGCGAAAGATTGTTTTAATTAATAGCGTAGCTGTTTAAAAATGCAGAACAGGCAATCCATTCCAATATGCATAGTAATCATCCAGAATAAGCTGTTTGATCTTTTCATGGTCAGGTCCTCAAATACTATGAAAAAAAAAACTGTTAAACTTACAAATAGAAATCAATCACATAATGAACACATTATTAACGCATTAGGGTGTTTTCCAATGAACAGAAAAACGCAGTAGGCTCTTTCCACGAACGGTTGGTTTTATTTTCGTTGGCGCTGATTTATCTGCATATATTTAATTGTACCAAGTCCTACAAATGTTAGTTTTCACGTGTGGATAAGTGTACATTTAGATCTATCACGTTTTAAGAAGCCTTCAAGTGATATTGTAATTAACGTGAAAACTCTGTGACAAGAATTTGTTTCGAGTGGCACGATGATTTCGAAGAGCTCCCATATATATGCTGCTGCTACTTCTTCAACCGGTGTTAAAAACAGCACTCTCACCTTTTATTCTCCACACAGCAGCGTAAACCCCAATCAACCACGAATCACACTCTAGCTGCGCCAACTAACAATTTTATCTGCACACTAACTTACACAGCCAAAGATTTCCTTGTGCAGCTAATTTTTGCCTGTATAAGTTGAGCTGCAGCAGAAATTGTTTGTTGGGATCTCAGCAGAGAAAAAAAAGGACTGCATCCACTTTACATCACCAATCACTCGCGGCACAACACCAGTACAGTCTGAAAGACGCAGCGGCAGCTCCTCATATCAACTCCCGAACAACGCCGAAATCAGAATCGACAACTCCAGCGACCGAAAACAAACGCGTCTAATAGCGGCCTCGGCACACTTCGATTGCATTTCTAAAACACAATCTCAACGCAAAAATACGCCAGCTTGCAAAGGGAAGAAAAATGCATGCTATCGTTGAAAGCCAAATGCGAACTCGAAGGACTAATAAATTATTAAATCATGTGAGTATTCAAGAACAAGATAATTGATGGTCGTATTGAGTGCTCGGGACCACATTAGTCACACTCGGGCATGGTAAAGATGCCGCGAAGGAAGTGAGTAGGACCTGAGTTGGGCTAAAATCTTCCATACGACTAATTAAATCACAATTGCATAAATATAGTACAATTTTAGAGGGAAGGAGGATCTATTGTGATTCGCCATAAGATATAGTAAAATATGCTTCTATTTCTTCTAGAATGTTAAGCTTCTGTAGCGCGTATTTGCCGGCTCTCAACCTAGTGTTCTAGATGCACTTCCACAGCTATAAATTGTGAGTTGTCTATGCCATCACCAATGGATGAAACTGTATATTGTGTTACTAGCACAATGATACAAGAAAATTTCCAACCCGAAAAATGATAAGAAAATATACATACATACCTTCTGAATCAATTGACCGATAATTTTACTGAATAATTATAATGATTGTTGAAGTTATAAAACGGACACACACTTTCAATCCTCACTTTAAAATTAGACTACTTAGCTCAATGCTTTCTTTGGTAAGTTTTTAACTCTGCTTAAGGTTCAATTTACTTTGATGCATTTTCGAAAAATTCAAAAGCAGTTTTTTTTCGACGCATTCTTTCAGATTGCTAAAAGCTCGCGTCATTTTGTGTAGAATAGCAAAAGGAATCGAATAGTGCGAGCATTTTGCAATCTGGACTAATGCGTCGAAAAAAACTGCTCTTGAATTTTTCGAAAAAGCATCAAAGTAAATTGAACCTTAAGCAACATAGAAAGAAAATAAGAATCAGTATATTTGATGCAGTAGATATTTTTTACGAAATTTTAAATCACATGCGCTCTACAATGCAATATTCATGTTAATTTGAACACGAGGAGAAATTTTGCAATTTTGTCTAGCCAGATATTTTTTTTATTTCAGCTCTTCTAAAGGGTGATACACACCAACTAATATTAATATGAATTTCGTTGAACAAAGTGTTGATAGATTTTTCTAAATTTTCGGTGTCATATTTTGTCCCAATATTTTGTCATTAAATTTGGATTGAATATTCACATTTGAAACACATAGAATAAATTTCGTTTTAGCTTTTAACTATGTCAATACAATCCTAATGAATGTGGGCGTCTTAGTGGAATACCTGTATAAAAAGAGGGAGAAGGTTTAGTTATTTCCATTTAATTCCACTATCTTATTTGCTTGTTCTTGACAGATACGCGTATTTCGTCTACAATGTGCAGACTTCTTCAGTGTCTTGTACTAATACTCGACTGTCGAGTATTAATACAAGACACTGAAGAAGTCTGCAGATTGTAGACGAAATTTCGCGTATCTGTCAAGGATAAGCAAATAAGGTAGTGGAATTAAGTGGAAATTACTAATCCTTCTCCCTCTCTTTATATGTCAATACACTTTTTGTTAAATTTTGTTCTAATTAAATGATTTTTTACCTAAAGGTTTCTAAGTAAGTGTAAGTAGATGGTCCCCTATTATTTTTTTTAAAGAAACCTTGTTTAATAACGCGACAAAAAAAAAAGATAGAAATATTGAATTTTATATTTTGTGTGTTGTAAATTCTTTTTAAGAGAATACTTGGTTAAATGGTTCATTCTGAAGTTATGCATTTGATTATCATTAATTTAAGCAATGTATATTTTTGTTTGAATCATAATCTATACGTATCCTCAATAAACAGTACGCATACAATAAAAAATGAAAAAGTGACAGGCAATTTTTGATGTCCGTTGTATAACTTGAACAGGTTCAATCCCAGCCGAGGTCGGTGGAATTTTTCTGAGGCATAAAAATCTCTGGTCACGTCTTTCTTCGGAAAGGAAGTAAAGCCGTTGGTCCCGACCCATGTGTATTTGAATGGGTGCGATATCCTTCACAGGTGTGTAAGCTGTCTTCCTGCACATTCACGGCAATCGATGTCCGTCAGTGATTGGCATTAGATTGCGGAACAGAGACCGACGTTAAATAAAGGAAAGTATAACTTGAACAGTCCTAGTTTAAATTTATATTTTATTATTTCATTATTTTATTGGCCTTTGCACTTATAGGCATTCATGTATAGGGTCATGCATAATTAATTTAATGGGATTTAAAAAAAACCCTCCATTCTAAGATCTTATGCCTTGTTCAGACTACAGAGTTATAACATGTTATAGCGCTATCTTGATGGTGGTTTCTGTGTTGCAATTATTTGACAACCGTTATAACATGTTATAACTCTCCAGTCTGAACAAGGCATTACATTGGATATTTAAATGATCTGTATAAAACTTGTTCATGATTAAATATGATATTTCTGGGATACTCTCATGTCAAAAAATGTAAGAATTTTTTTAACAATCTCTCTCCCGCTAAGAGCTTCCGTAATTATTGAATGGCCCCTAAGCAAATTGAATGCGATATTTTACGATATTTACACAGGGTTCTGAAATGCAAATGATTCATGTTCCCGTTATTGTAAAAAGTATGATCCAAAACATACTGAAAACAAATGAAAAATAAATTAAAATATAAATGTCCCATATAAAGTAACGTGACATGCAAATTTTAGGCTTTTGATTATTCTTATAATTTAAACTTATTATAGACTTCAGAATATTTGAAATTAATAAAATGATTTATCTAGTTCGTTTATTTGGGAGGCTCAATCGCGTTAGCTTTACGGAGCCGATAATTCATTGTTCACTGTGTGTAACAAAATTCACTTAATTCTATGTCTAGTAGGAGTTGGGCCGATTACTCGCGGCTTACTCGAGGTTAGAAGGGTACATTTTCGAAGGATAGGATCAGGGGAGGAGCTTGGGGTAGGGTTTCGTTGTCTCATCAGAGCGTTGTCGCCAGTATGAACGGTAGTGCTGTTCTAGCTTCGTCCGGAGTTCGACCGGCTATGGTGGGTGACCAGTGGGCGACGATGAGACTCATCGAGACGGGGGGACA